TTTTGTGCAAACTTTTGGCTATGAAAATTGAGAACCAGCAGAAGAATAAAGGTGAATTTACTTTGATTTATTGAATGAAACACAAACAGTTGTGATCTCTAAGAAGCAGATTTTCCAGAGTGTTTTGCTTTTTGTTTTTGCCTTTCTCTTTTTTTTGGTGTCCTGTGTAACAAATGTCCTCTTTGAATTATTAAAAGAAAATCTAGTATTGAAGCATGCTGTATTGGTCTGACCTAGGAGATTTGTCACAAGGTGCTACTAAGAGCAAAGGCTGAAAGGGGACAGCTGTTTCATTAGCCAGAATGTTCTCTTAGGCTCTGTTAAGTAGGACAGGGATTCTCAAGGATTTCAGTCTCTTATAGCTTTGGTCAAACACTAGGAGCCAGATCCTCAAGGAGGATAATTGCAACAGTTCTTGAGACCAATGCAGCTACCAAAATGTGTGTTCACTGAGCATGTGTCTGACCCAGGCATTTCCCCGAGGAGTAGGACAGCCCATGCCTGGTCTTTGCAGGAGCTCTTCTCCTTTTCCTGGAGTATGCTATGCTCTCTGCTCTCAAAAACAAATCGTCTCCAACTGCAGGGCTAGAGAGTCTGCTCTGCTCTGGCAACTCATCCCTCCTTTGCCTGTTTTTGCATATACTGGTTTCACAAAGCCTTAGCATTCTGAAAACCAGTAAAATTAATAAGGAAAGTAAATCAAGCAGAGAAAAAAATGAAGAACTACCCTAGCGTGAGGTAAACAAAAGCTCTGCTTCTCAGCCATGGCCCACTGGGGGCAGAAGCAGAGCAGAATGTCCCCTGGCTGCTCCTCAGCCTGGCCAGCCCACGGCCCTGCCCCAGCCCTCGCTGTCCTTCAGCCCTGCACAGGGATGGCTGCCAGGGCAGGAGCTGAGCCTGGGCAGCCCAGGGCAGTGCTGGCAGAGTAAAGGGTGTGCATCCTGACTGCCAGCCTGGCTGTGACAGCACAGACCTCAGGCAGGGGTCCTGACTGTCACCCTGCCACCGGCAGAGCTTGGTGCTGGTGCCAGTAGCACCTGGAACAGCGGGATCAGGACCAGAGTCACTCTCCACTGGTGTTTTGTGTGCAGCAGTGCAGGTCTGCCACCACTCCTGGGGTGCTGACAGGGCTCAGACACCCGTGACAATGCTCAGGTGCCAAGGTGAGGCCGGCCGCTCCCTGTTGAACCTTGGGAGCTGAATTCCTCTCCTCTTGTCTTCAGCTTCGGTGCTGCTCCATGCAACTGCCAGGGCTTTCAGGGGGTCACAGAGGAGCAGGGAAAGTCTGCCCACAAGCTGGTGTTCCCTGAGCTCCTTCCAGCAGGGTGGCTCCAGGCTGCTGCACAGAACTGCCTCTGCGGTGGAGCAGGCAGGGTCACCACCATCCCTGCACAGCTGCGTGATGTGAAGCCCAGAGGGATGGTGTGGTTTTGCCCACATTCACACTAGTGGTACACAAGCTCTCAGGCCCCCCTCTAACCACTAGACAATGTTTCCTGCCTTGTTATGCTATTGATATTATTTCAGAATAATTTTGGGGGGGGCGTGCCGGTAGTAGTGCAAGGGGGGGTGGTGGCCAATGGGTGCTGAGCATCTTTCAGAACTGATGCCCCTTTGCATCTCAACACTTTTCTCTTCAGCTCCTGCAGCTCCAGAGACCCTTCTAACTCCTCCCTCAACCACACTCCGATGAAAGCCAGCAGGGAGTAGATAGGGGTGAATGGGGAGGGGACACACAGGCCAGTCCACCTTTCTGTACATCAGGTCAGAGGGCTGCACAGAGTCTGCGAGACAACATCTCTGTAAACCCATCACCTGCGAGAGACCCTGGGACTCATGGACAGGTAAAAGGAGTCGCTCTAGTTTCTTGCTCCTATGACAGATGAGAGTCTTTCTGTCAGAATTAACTTTCTTTCCCTCTGGTGTTGACCATCCCTTTCCCTTTCCCCATCTGACTCACTGATATAACTCCCTGCCTGTCCTGCTCTTGCAACTTGCATCTTTGTGTCTCTGTTGTTCTTTCTCTTTGACTGTCTGCCACCTGTGCTCTTTTCCCTTTCTCTCATTACTTTCTTGTGGCTGTTCTCTGTTCCTTTCATTGTTTTTCTTTTCTAGAAACAAAGGATGATAACAAAAGGATGAACAGTCAGATGCTATCTGCTGCTTAAACCCCTCAATCCTCTACTTGCACTGCAATTAGTCCGTGAGCTTATTATGACTAATCACTCTCCACAATTGCATACTATGCACACACTCAGGGGACTTCACTCTGATTTCATGAATATTTACTTGAGGAGAAGATCTTTGTCCAGGCTGCTTCTCCAGTGCCCAGGTGTAATCACAGCTCCTGTGTCCTTGCTTCTTTCCCTTGAGCTATGCTATAGCCATAGGAGTTGAATGTGTATCCAGCAGTTTACACCTAGCCAGACATCTGCTCAGTTGCTCCACTCAACATCTGTTCATTCATTGCTCTGTTTGCACCATCCATATTCTCAAATCCTCCCTGGGGGGAAAAAAAACAAAAAAAAAAAAAACAACAAACTCTGGGATGGTGAACTCCAGAGGAAAAGGAGAAAAAGAGCTGATGCTAATGAACATTTCTAGTTGAACAAATGTCTTCTGTGATTCAAATGGTCTTCAATTTGTTCTGAAATGGAAAAATAATCTAAGTGATGGTAATTTTATTTTTCTGTGGTTTGGGGTCATTTCTTGTTCTTCACTCTTATTTGCATCCACATGCGACTCTGAAGGGTCAAAAACATTGAATAGAGAAAAAAGGAATGACATGAGAAAAAGGGCAAATAGAAGAAGATTCAGAAACATTTTGAAAGCAAATGGTTTTGCCCAAAACGTTTTAAAAAATAGAAAAGGGAAGGTCTGTTTTCCCTTATGTTTTTGATGTGATAAAATTTGTTTTTCTGTATGGGTTTAATGAAATATCAACATAATTGTAATTGTTTTCCACCTGGCTTATATGTTTCTTCAGCAAGCAATTGCCTTGTGCACAAGGCTCTGCTCTGTTTTCTGCAGTTGTGGCACATTCCGGGTAAGTGCTTTGCAAACCTCTGACCTATCACACCTGTGCAATTTTCTGGATTATCCTTTCTGGACAACCTGAGGACCTGTCACCACAGAACAGATGCCCTCTCCAGCATCTCTGTTACAGGACACAGTCTTTTCTATATCCCTGCAATAACTCATCTAAGGCTTACAAACCTGTGATGAACCACTGGTTGATAATTTTGTGGGGACACCAATGTGTGTGTGAGTGTGTGTTAGGAATATACACAGGTGTTCATTTGTGTTTGCACAAAGCCAGGGAAACAGGGTGAATCTAAGGTGGTAGGGAGTGAGTCAGCTCCAAGAGTGAGAAAGGTGGTGAAGAACACACAGTGGGTATGGGAAACAGGCACACACCAAGAACAGCCAGAGAAAGGGGTGGTGGAATGCAGTAGAGCTCGTGCTCTACTCCTGACACAACTTGCAAGTCCAACAGAGCAGGACTGCAAGAGTGCTTAGGGGACAGACCTCCAGGAAGAGCCTCAGACTGTTGTTGGGCTTAATGAGATATTTAATGGGGATGCCTTACCCTCCTGAGTGTGTGCAGTCTTCTCTATGGACTTTCTTCTAACAGAACACATGCTGGAATGTGATGTGCTCCTGCAGGAGCCATCAGCATAAAGCATGGCATAACAGAGAATGTGTGTGCTTCCTCTTTCTGTGTCAGCAGCACAGGTATTTTTGCACTGCAGGCTGAGGGAGACAGGGCAGGAAAGAGTCGTTTGCCTGTCTGTGGGACAATTAGGGGAGCAAGGGTGCCTGAGGGAGTATGTCTGTGATGCAGGTGAGGAGCAGCAGGGAGTGACACACAACCTCAAAGCACATCACTAGGTAACAAAAGTTAAGAGGATGTGCATGACTGTATGAATGAGTACCTGTGATGCAGTGGCCATGTGTCAGGGTGCACAAGGGACAGAAGATGCTGCAGGGGCAGAGAGGATGCCTGTTAGCTGGTCATTAAGTGCTCTGCAGTGCTCGAGCTTTATGGTGACATTGGCAAACAGATGAAGGGTGTATACATGTGCCTAGACTCTCAGATTTAAATTCCTAACAAACCCAAATTCCCCTTTTCTACACTTCACTGGAGATCCTCCAGAAAACCCAAATCAGTATCTCTTCAACTTACCCCATCTTTGTGCTGAACATCAGCCTAACAGTGGGAAAAGATGACAAAGGACGTGATTATTTTTAACCTATTCACTTCTGTTTTGCATTGCTGCGGGGGAGGTGAGTATTTCACCTCAATGAACCCAGCTGCCTGTGTCCCTCCACTTGGCTGCAAGGCTGTTAGATATGGCTCATGACTACCTTACACCCTCCCTGTGTTCCTGCTGCCTCTCCTCAGCATGATCTCTGGGCATGGGAGCAGGTCCATGCCAGTCTTGATGTCTGTCTGCTGTGGAAATGGTACTTGTGTCTGGAGAGGTGTCAGCATTTATATATTCCGTCAGCTACTGGATGGCATCTTTCCCTAGTCTTGCACTCTTTCAACTCTCCTCTTTTGGGCAGTGCTTGGAAGATATTCAGTCCAGTCTTCTCTGGACAGATTCTAATTTGTTCTGTCCCTTGCCCCAGCGGATTTTCTGCATTTCATATAGCAAAAATAACACCTCTTGATGGCTGAACTCCACACCCTCTCATCTTCACAGGCCTTCTCAGATGCCTTCATCCTCCTCCCTCACTGGTGTCCATGTTCTGGATATTTTCAGATATTTTCACACTCTGCCCAGCCATAGTTGCTGTTTGACTAATCACCATTAATTCACATACCATTTCCACTCACAAGGTCACCTGCTTCATCCCCAGAGTCACGTCTGCATCCTTTCCCTAGAACATTTCATGCAAATTACTGACACTCTTCTCGTACAGAGAGGCTTGGATATGAAGAGGATATTTTTGGTGCTGAGCCCTCAACTGAGACATGGTAAACTGCTGGCTGCATGAGTAAATGTAAATTCTCTCTTGTCCTCTCCTGCAGCATCCTCATGCAAAGGAGACTCTTCCTCTACAACTTCAGGAACCTGCGCAAGGCCAAGGGCCGGCGTGAAACCTACCTCTGCTATGTGGTGAAGCGCCGGGACAGTGCCACCTCGTGCTCCCTGGACTTCGGATACCTGCGCAACCAGGTAGGGGAGCACCCTGCCATCCTGTCTGGAGCCTGCAGCTCTGCTTTGCCTGGGGCAGCAGGGAGCAGAGGGCTGTGACAGCAACGCAGGCACAGCTGGGCGCTGTGCTGGTACACTCTGTTTGAGGGATGCAGCCTCCGGGTAAAGCTGTACTTTGTGCTATGCCTGAGTGTGCTCCCACAAGACATCCACACTCCCTGCTGCTTTCCAGTCTCCCTACCTTCCTGCTTAGTTCCCACCCATCCTGTTCATGCATCCCTCCACACCAGTGCCTGCCAGCGCTTCTCCAGTCCTTAAGTACTACCGTGCCTTGTCCCTGTGTATGCCAAGCCAAGAGCACTCCCTGCACCTTGTTTCTCCTCCCTCACACCGAATCCACACCAGCCCTCACTCCCTGCCCCCTGACACCCTGCTCCCTGCCCGCCACCTGAGGCCTCATCCGTCTCTCCCGGTTTCCCGAAGATGGGCTGCCATGTGGAGGTGCTCTTCCTGCGCTACATCGCAGCCTGGGACCTGGACCCGGGACGCTGCTACCGAATCACCTGGTTCACCTCCTGGAGCCCCTGCTACGACTGTGCCCAGCACATCGCCAGCTTCCTGCGCTCCTACCCCAACCTGACCCTCCGCATCTTCATGGCCCGCCTCTACTTCTGTGAGGACCGCAAGGCTGAGCCCGAGGGGCTGAGGCGCCTGCACAAGGCGGGGGCACAGATTGCCATCATGACCTTCAAAGGTGAGTTGTGCAGGCAGGAAAGAGATGATGAAGGGGTGTTGGGGATACCCAGGAGAGGGGGAGAAAGTAGGGTAAGGAGCCAGAGAAGATGATGCAGAGTGTGATGATCAGTGTCCTGTTGAGCACCTGTAACTCCCCCATACCTTGCACAGATTACTTCTACTGCTGGAACACATTTGTGGAGAACAGGGAACAGGCATTCAAAGGCTGGGAAGGGCTGCATGAAAACTCTGTCCATCTTGCCAGGAAACTTCGACGAATCCTCCTGGTAAGGGCCAATTCTCCTTCTCTTTCCTCTTCCTTCAGCTTATTCCTCTCTTCCTCACTGTAATTCCTGTCTGCTCTTGCTGCTCATCCCTGCCATCTGCCATTTCATTCACTCACACGTCTTCATCTTCCACATCCCTTATGCCTCTTCCCCCAGCTTTCTTCATCTCTTCTCTCCTTGTTCATTTCCCCTTCTTCCCACTCTCATCTCATCTCCTGCCATTCCTTCCTCATATTCGTGGGTTCCTGCTCACTTGACAACTGACCTACCGTTTCTATTTTGTCCTGCAGCCGCTGTATGAAGTAGATGATTTACGAGATGCCTTTAAAATTCTGGGACTTTGAAGTGAAAGTCATCAGCAATCAGAAGACTTCGCAAGCACTTGTTCTTTGATTTCCAACTCTCTCCCTTACAACAGACCTTTCTCCTCTTTCCTCCTTACATCTCTCTCCCTTCCAGCCCTGTGTCTAGGGATGAGACTATCCTTACTTTTTATTTCCAAGGAGAATTAGGCTGATCTTGTGAAGATACCTTCCCCAGGCTCACACCTTATCCATTGCTAACTGGGAATAGCCAGGACTGCAGTGACATTGCCAGAGAATGATTTGCCCCCCCTCAGACCCTGCAGAGCTAATCCAGGTGATCCACTAAATGGAGCTCTGGATTTAGCCTTGCCCAGGTGGGAGCAGACAGCCTGCAGAGCTGTTTGTGCAACTGTGTTCTCACTGGCACTGCACTGACCTGCACATTTCATGAAGGCTTCAGGGAGCACATTTTTTGGCTCTTAGAGCTGCACTGCACTCAGCTGCTCTGTGTCCTCCCCTGTGAAATGGTTTATTTGTCCTTCTGGATGTTGGTAGGAACTGAAAACCATCATGACTGAAGTGGTACAGCCTATGCATTAACAGCAAAGTTGGCCAGCCCCTGAAAAGCTCAGCTGAGAGTGTTGAAGTGAATCCTTCACAGCCCAGGTAGCTCAGCTTGAAAACCTCACGTGAAGCCAGCAGGTCTGTCGGAGTGGATTGTGTGCAGAGCACCACAGCTCTCGCTGTGTGGGGTGCTCCTCATCCTCTGAGCATTTCCCCCTAGACCAGGCATGCAATGTGCTCCCTCCCCAGCCAGCTGCCTCTGCTGGAGGCACCTTTACAGTCCCACAGTCTTCTGTTTTTCCAAGACTTTTACTGCCCTTAATATGGCCAGCAATGTCCAGTTGGTGACTGTATTGAGAGCTGCCCAGAAAAAAATCCTAGCATATGCAAAGCTCTATGACCTGTAAATAGGTATTTTCTGTAGGGGCCAAAATCCAGCCATCCTCCTGCCTGGCAATCACTCTGTCCACTAGAGCACCCCATTAGCTCCTGATCTGGTGGACACAGACTTTACAAGCTGAAGATACAGGTTCATAGCACATGCCTGCTCACCACCACCTTCCCACCACCTAAATTACAGCTGGATTGCTCTCTCCAGTCTAACCTCTTGAGGCTTGGACAAGACTAAGTGTGTCCCACACCCTGGGTGTGCTCTGTCATTTCCTTCATGATGGCTGCAAGTTCTCTGCTCCATCTTCTTTCTGGATGAGGCTGGAGGCTCCTCAGAACACCTCCCCTGGTGCTAGGCCAGCTCAGCAGGACAGCAGAGAGCTCTGCTCCTGCAGCACCTCCTCCTGCTAGCAGAGGTCACAACCAGGTGCATCACAAGCTTCCTACAACTTCAGGCTCCCAAGGCACTCTCAGCTTGGGGAATTTTGACCAGGAATAGCAATGACAGTCCTTTGCAAAGCATTAATTTGCAAGCATGGTGTTGTATATTTGTTCCATATGGTGCATATTATTTATATGAATAAAGGTCTTACAAACAAGCCTCTGGCTTTGTCATCTTTTTGGTATCCTGTGGGTGAAGGAGGTAAACTGGACACAGAGGATTGACATGTCATTTCTTCTTTCTGATTTCTGGAGATACAACCTGGAAATACTAAAATGTCTTTTTACCTGTAGCTTTGAAGTTATTGAAAATATCACCCAGCAGATCAAGGCAGATAAATTGTTCAGGTACTTTGGACATGCTACCAAAAATCTCTGAAGTTATTTGAGATGCTTCTTTCCTTGATGGCCAGCCTATTGTGCCCATTCATGACTCATAATTGACCACCCTGGACACAAAAGGGCTGACCCAATATGCTCCACAAAACAAGAAGAGAAGCAAAGGTGTATAAAGAATCTTCATCTTTCAGTTTTTGATATTGGCCTGTACAACAGCATTGTCCTTCTCAGCGAAATTCTTAGAAAAAAATAGCATTTTGTTAAAAAGGAGTTGAGATTCCAGCCTTTGCTTAAATTCTGACTAACACTGGGTTGAAGATACTTGTTGAAACATGATGACAGATGACATTGTACAGGAGGAGACAAAATGTAATGAGTAAATGCAAAGAATCATTAACTATATTAAGAATACATCCTATGTTTAGATTCTTCTGAACATAAATCTTATTAAATTCAGAGTGGACTCTAGAGTTAATCCATGTGATTCAGCTATAGAAATTTAGCTCTTTTGTGCACAAGATTGTTTTAACTGCACTTTTTCTGTTCACAAATACCAGTTCATAGTTTGTTACAAGATATTCTTTAATTTGGTTTTCTAAATTAATTCAGTCTCAAACACTTCAGTGTCTCTGCCAAGAGTTACTCTCTGGAGGGTGACTGTTATACAGTAACATTACTTTACTAACCCAAGATATCCTTCTTGCTTTGGAGACTGTTTATATAGTGAACATTTCGCTACTGATTGTATATTTTTGAGAACCACTTATCTTTACAGCCTTGTGGAGATTGTAGGTGTGCTATTCTAGGTGTCTCTCTCCTTTATATGCACCTGGGCAAAAGCTAAGCTCTCAAGGGGATTGTGGCAAATACACCTCCAGTCCCAGCTGCCTGAGCTGTGGGAAGTGGGGGCTTGTGGTCTCTGGGAGTGCATTTCCTCCCAAAACTGTGGGGAACAGTCAGATCAGGGGCCTTGGTGCTCACTGAAAACCCCAGTCTCACTTGATCAACACTCCACAGTTTGCAGCAATGAACAAGGCACAGGCACATCCAGGTAGCTGTAGAGTCCTTGCTAACAGAGGAAACAGGAAAAACTGGGATGGCAGCTGGTGTGGACAACTGGGCATGGCTGACATCTCCTGGTGCACGGGGTGTCTGCCACCCTGCTGAGGGGGGTGTTGCCTTGAAGGGATGTTGATCCATGCTGCAAACAGCTCCCAAAGCCTGTCTCTGAACACCCCCCAGAACATGTCCGCAGAAGAGCAGGACACTGACATCATTCATTCCCACAGCTGCACACAGCATTACTCCAGGTCAGTACACGGTGTCCTTGGACTTTGCAATAATGAGAAACAGATTACCACTAAACAATGTAAAGGCACACTCCAGACCCTTGCAAACACAAGCATGTCTTCTCCCTCCTTTTCTCTTCCTCTCCTGCGTGCTGGTACTTGGAAATCAGGATAGAAAGGGATTTCAGGGTCATGGAATTTCCCTTGCTACTTGTCCCTTCAGGGGGTTTTCAGTCTACATGTATTTGTGTCCAGCATTGTGTTTGAGCACGTTTTTCTACTCTCCCTGGTGCTGACCCTTTAGCGTTCCTATGGGCAGAAATGTCATTATTTCATCACATATGTATTAAATATTCACAGTGATGGAAATTAGATTTGGTTCATAGAAGAAACATGAAGGGATTTGGCAGAGAAGAGACCCCTGGTTCAGACAACGTGAGCAATGATGAGCAGAGCCCCTGCTGGGGAAGGAGAAAGTGGGCTGCTGCAAGACCAGAAGTCACAGCAGATGGGGAGGCACCAAAGGGTGACAAGTATTCTGAAGGCTGCATTTGGCTTTTAAGCCTCGCATACACTTCTCTCTTAGCCAGGTTTCCCATCAGGCTTCCAAACCCACATCAGATATGGCTAAAACTCTGTTGCTGTTGCTGCTGTTGCACCCAAGTTCCAGCACAGGGAGGGTGTTGATGTCTCCCCACTATAATCTTGTCATTAATTCACACTTAAGAGCTATCCCAGTCTACGAGTTGGCACAATGTTTTTACCAGTCCAGAGGGCCAGTAGAAGATGAGAGCAGACCAGCTGCCCTCTGTGGTTACCTTTAAAGGCTACCAGTGGGGTAGACCCACTTCTAGGTTTCACATGCCAGTAGGGGCACAGCAGTGATACAGCAGATTGCAAATTCACTCTGGCAGATAAAACTAGTGTGAAAAACTTCACTGGGATGACTTGGCACTGGCAAGCTTCCAAACAGACCAGAGAAAGTTTGTCCTCCTGCCTTCAGTGGAAAGGGCTAAGCCCTGGGCACGAATGGTTATGGACCCTGTTGTACTAAGCTGCATGTTGATCAAGTGATTACATTGCTCCCTAAGGAAACAAGGACTAAACACTATAATGTCCAGAAAGAGAGCATGTGACATCCAATACGAGGCCCTGGACAGGGGGAAGAAAACTTTAGCTGTGCTATACGTTGTTTGGAGTTGTTTTATTCGACTAACGTAGTAGACACTCCCCAGCCAGCTGTGCTCAGCCTTAGATACACTCTCACACTGCGGGGACTGGAGCTGCTTCCTCAGCCTGCAGCTTTTCTGGCTGTCTCTGTCTGCTAAACATCTGGAGATTTTTGCCTGGCCAAAGGACGCTGTAAGCATAAATAAACTGGAAGAGATAGACACAGTTCCCACCAGCCCCTGCCTTGTTCTTGAAGTTACCATTTGTGCATGTTGTGGATCCCAGCATCAGCACATCCCCCAGTGGGATGACACAATAGCCTTCCTGCTTGAAGAGGGTGGGAATCATGACACATGGGGGTCCCCACATGATTCATTCAGATGATCTACATTATTTGCTGTTCAAATTCAAAACTGCTGCAAAACCCAACACACCTGTATCTTCTTTTTGCCTTCTTCCAGTAGAGAGAGCTCAGAGCTTTCAATATCTCCTACTTCACCATTCCACTCTGTGTTTACAGCTGGAAAAGTAGAAACGTTTTACTTTGGTTCCCCAGTTTGCAATTGTGGTAAATAGGTGTGCTTCATGCTGACAAAATTGAAATGGTAATCAATATTGATACAATAATTAATATTTGGAAATAGTAAAACAGTTAAAAGTGTAATGCCAGAAGAAGGAGGAGCTCCCTCCCCTTTTTCCTTGCAGACGTTCAGGACAGGAAGAAACAAAAGATAACAATTACTAAAATTAACCGAAAGAAAGGAAAATTTGGTTGGGTCCCAGGGAAATGTTAATTATGTGAGATTTATTGCTTTGATGCTAGAACATAATATTGGCTTATATTATATTAGCTTTGGCTTACATTATACCAGCTTGGTGCGCATGTGGAATCCAAATGGTGAATTAAAGGACATTGAGAAAAAGGAGAGGCCTTCATCAGGGACAACCCCCAAAGAGTGGTGTGACCACCTAAAAAATGGTGGAGCATGCATGGTAAAGGTGATGATGAAGGCGGTGAAACAAGTGGGACGAATAGAAAATGGGAGGAGATGGTGATGACATAGAGCATAAAAGGGGGAATTTTGGCTTGGCGAGCTTGTCCATGAGGTGACAGGGTCAAGCCCTGCACTCCGTACCCCACATGGTTATTTTTGCTTATGTGCTATTATCAGAACCAAATTATTCCTTATTTTAACCATATTATATTGTCACTATTTTGAGTGTATTCAATTTTATATATATTAAGCTACTTAATTAAAATTGCTGCTACATTTAATGTTGTTTGGTTTTCGTTTATGATTTGATAATTGGGCAAATATAACACAATGAACACCCATGTCTCCAGTGTGTGGAATTACAAGGGAAGGATGTCTGCCAAGGAGCTGAATAAGAAAAGCAAAGTTTCCACAATGTTGACATCTTCCCTTTTATTACACTGGTTTTACAGTCATAAATAAAGTTTACACTCATAAATAAAACCTTAAAATGAAGTATTATTACAGTATTGCATAAATAGTTTAATAGTATGAAATATATTCTGAAACATACACATGTAGCCATAAAAGTGATCTTCGTAAGAAATTCTGAAAGCAAGAATGCATGGCTGATTACTTCTTTGGAACAGATCAGAGTATGAAAAATGTTACATGCTGGCCTCTCAACTTGCAGAATCTGATT